TCGCTGCGGTAGGTCACGGGGATCGGAGTCTTTATAGCAACCTACATATTCTGTTGAACACCAAGTCAGTACTGAAAATTGTCCGAATGACTGCTAGCCTGCAAGCAGGCTCACTCAAGTTGAAAGTGTTGAAGCTGCAGTCTTGGACTGAGCAAAAAGAAATTAGCAACCCCCCGTTCACCTGAAATTAAGGATGGCGTCGGCTGAGGGCTAAGCTCATTCTCCAGCCGTGGTTTTCTCGATGTGCCCACGGTACTACCGACCCGACTCTCCTCCCTCGGTCGGGAGTACCGCGGGCGCATTGAGACAACCACGGCCGGAGACTGAGCCTGCACGAAGGCCAAACCTAAAGTGCCATTTTAAGGGGAGGAGTGGTCTTCAATTTCCATTCATGATGTCCAAGGAGAGCAGAACGTGTCCCACAAACCACCCTAAAATTTCTATGCGGCTGCCTCAGTCGCGGAGATAAGGTTGGTGTAAACAGCTGTCTGGTTCACCGTCTCTCTCTGCAGTGAGAAAGACGTCTTGCCCTCTGTGCTGTTGCAAAAATTCTTCCGTTGTGCGAATAAAAAATACAAAACCGCGTGTAGGGAAGTAACCGTATGGCGAGGCGCATGATGACTGTGAAGGGAGCTAATCTGTAAAACAAGAGAGAATGAGCTAATTCTCTCTTGTGTATAACAAGACGTTATTTTGAACGCACATGTATAAGTTGACGCTTTTGATCGCGAGCAAGTGTCTTTTATGTCTCTATAGCAACGCGGCACTGATTTGCATGATTCTCAGGATAATCCACCTCATACCCGGAGGGGAGGGGGAGGTGGGGGACGAGAAATAGAACAGGAAACAAGTAAAATGTAATAGAATTCGTTCTTGTTAATTAGTGGTACGATGAATAAGATTTCAAGGGAATAGTAAGAAATAATAATGCAAAATTAACCTACCTTGACAGGTGGCAAAAGACGCTAACAACACCAGCAAAGTAATGCCGGTTGTATCTCGCATAGCTTTTTATACCTCAGCTTCACCCTGTACGAGGCAAAATAAAAATTGTCCTGAAAATCTTTGGAGCACTGCCTTCTCCAGAAAGAAAGTTCCCTACAGAAAACGGAAATGGGAGAACGGAACAATGCACCAGAATATAGTCGCATTTAACCAAACGACTGGATTGGTTTGTGCCACAGTTGTTAAGCCAAACGTGTCAAGTTTCCTTTGACCCTTACTAATATATGTTCAAGGCTTTTGATTACAGTTTATACTTTAATTGGCACAATCGCTTAGTGTTTATCTTTAACTGAAGAAGGTCATCGTTTCAAGCATATTAGCGAAAATATCATTAAACTAGATCAGCTGAAGGAGGAAATAATGATGCGTCATTAACCCTTTAAACCCTAAGATCAAAATTTGAATTCTCATTTGATGCCCCTATTCATTTCCTACAGAAGTAGTGGGGAGAAGTTGATAAAATTCATCTTGTGTGATCATGTCCGTAATTCTCTTGACCACTCTGTTTTACAAAGCATTGATATTACAAGGAGAAATTTGCTGCTGATCACTCTTAGTGCTTAAAGGGTTAGAAGGCAGTAGAGAGAGTCTCTAGTGAAGTATAACTAGGGAGTAGTAAAACCGGAACTGAATGATAATCTAAGCGTAGAGAATGTGATATCAACGGAAATGTATACTTAATTAACCTTACTTTTGATTCTCTCGACCTCCCTTTCTTACCTGTCATTTACGTCCAAACTTTAAACTTGTTGATTTGGCTGCTGTTCTGTTCCGATTGAAAGCGTGGTGTAGTGTAGTAAGGATCTCAGATTCTCAGGGGAAACTCCAGCTACCAAAGGACGTAACCCAAGACCCACAACAATATTACTAAACAAAGGAATAATCAACAAGTAGAGATCAAATGAAACTAACTTCGTTGACTATATCAGTCGATGAAATATTCATTAAGATAAAATAACTTAGGAGAAAAACCAAGACAACCTGTACACCAAAACATACGGGTCCTTTCTTCCAGAAGAATCAG